AAATTCACATCAATTACTGAACTACTCTACAGTGACCGACATTCACGCCAGTTGCACAGAAACAGTCGCCATGCGTTCAGGAATCGTTTAGCGGCATTAAAAAAAAAAAACTCATTTCATTAAAATTATTTTCATCATCGTTTATATTTTTTACATTCTCGCCTCATTTTTTCTATTAAATACATGTTATTAATTAATGCATGTCTTTAATAATAATATTTTATATCGTAAAGTCCTTTTTAAGGTGATTTCTATATAGTTATCCTGCCTATACAGGGTGTTTCAGTTCGGGTGAATCAAACTAATTTTCTTATCAGAAGAACGGTCTCCCATTCAACTGAGATTTTCTCTAAAACGATAGGTACATTATACCGATTTTCAACAAGTATACAGTAAATTATGCCGATGTGCAAATGTTAACACCACACCAAATTTGAGTCAGTTTGTTATGAGTAAACCAAAGATTTCGTAAATAATACGATTTTAACAAGCGACCAATACGGTCCTGTACAGTGAAAACGGTGAGACTTAGGCCCTTGCTTTATAAGGCAATTCTGAATTATTTACTGAGTCCTATTTGTGGTTAAACTTTGATTCACTCGAACTGAAACACCCTGTATGTTACACAATTTTGAAAGAATATGTACTTATTACAGCTGGAAAAAACATTTGCATTTAATCAAATCTGTTCATTCGTTTAAAATATATATTATCTATAAATTTCTTCAAAGATTATTGAATTGAAACTAACACAATTCTAGAAGATGAAGCCAAATTATTAATTTAAACCAACCTAATGCAACTTTAACAGCTTTGTGTTTCTAGTTTATGTAGGTTAGTCTTTGCTAATAAATTCTCTTTCCTGTAAACCATTATCCTGTCGGTTTTCGGTTTCCAATCTATACCTTTATGGTAAATTTAATTTATCTTGCCGTGCTGGAGTTGAAAATAAAATCTTTTAAGTACCTTTTATTTGGTCTTTCCTGCTGTTTATATTTTCCCGGCTTTCTTTTTATAATGCCATATAGAATTCAGTCAGCTAAGTACCTATTTACTGGCAACTTCAGTACAAAATGTTTTTTTTATTGCTTAATGGATATTTTGTCCGTCAAATGTATTTTTCTGTATACGGTGATATTTATTATCGTGTTAAATTTTTCTATACCCTTTTTATTTTAATACCGGGAAAAAGTCATTTTATTTCGTTAGATTGCACCGATAAATCCAAACAGGGTATTTACGAATTTAGAGAGGATACTTAAAAAATTAATGTGAAATATTTTTTAGGACCTACCAGTTTACCACATTGATACGACAAAAACGTGTTTGGAACCGATAGCTCTGTCTCTGTTTGTTAGTGGTGCATGCCTATTTAGCGAAGAAATTGGTATATCGACGAGATTATTGTTAGTTCCCGGGCAAGCCCATGCCTAACATTGTCTATTACACCCAATATGTTAAACCTGATATCATTTAAATCGTAAGAAAAATTTTTAGCCAGCTATGTAAAAATAAATAGAGCGCTTTGTCATTTCAGATGTCATAACGAGTTTTAAGTAAGGAAAATTACCTCGTGACGTAACATAACCTCAAATATAGCAAAAAATCGTGTTTTTCGTGATTTCAGGTTAGGATATCTCGAACACCTGACGTGATGGAGAAATTGGGTTCGGATCCAACTCGGTAAAAACCTTCAAATATATAACCAAATATCAATTAAAGTCATTATTTAGTAATTTCAATAACAGATAGGTGTCTATTTATTAGTACTATATGGATGATTTTTTTTTATTTTAGGTTCTCTAAAAAATACCAAACTTCTCTTGAAATCACAATGTGTAGTATAGTCTTTCCCATATTAATTGACCATGTATAAAAAAGCCTAGCAATAAAATTGTCGTCCCTAAACAAGTTTTCTGCTGAAGGTAAAAAATTATAATAATTTGTATATAAGGCGTAGAAAATTTCTATTATATGTTCATTTGGCCAACAACATATTTTACTTATTTATGTCCTCAAACAATTTTATTACATTGACGGTAAATTTCGTTTTGTTCCGTTTCAAAAGGTCTCCCAAATGTCATGTTGTAATAATATTAGTAAACAAAATATCCCTCTTGTTTTTCCCTTTCGCGATTGTAATATGAATGATTAATGCCTATAATAAATTAAAGTTACCCGAATCACACCAAATTTCGCATTGCTGCACTGCACTGCTAGGCAATTTGTCGGCCACTTGTCAACGGCTGAGATTTATTGCCCAGTCGCCCAGTTCGACTATCTGTGTACGCCATTTGTCCGCGCGCGCGCATTCTTCAACTGGGCTTATACATTTCTACCACCTCCACGTTTAGTTCGACCAGACCTGTATATGGTTATGGCTAAATAAATATGGGAACAAGTTTTTCAAATATTTCAATGCCGAGTTACTGCGTCAGCGACCGAACCTGGTACATGTTGGCACATCTTGGTTCTTCAATTGAGATCGGAAAGACTATACTACATACGCCACAACTATACAGGAATTCAATAGTAACATTGTCTGTTCCGAGAATATATAAATTTTGGGCGAATATTATGAAAACTGTGAACTATATATAAAATTGTATGAAAAAATGTAATAAACATTGTAACAATTATACTTTTAACATAGTGTTTTTATGTTCAATATATTTTCTATTCAACAATTGCATGATTTCTTCTTTTCACTATGCGTATGCATATTAAGGCCCATTTTCCATGACAGTCACTGCACCAGGTTCAATATGAGGCAAAATAGATGTAAACTGTTTTTCTCTCTCCATACCCTTAAGGTTATTTTCTGTTCTTTGTGACTCGAACACAAACCATTAATATACAGGGTGATTCAGTCATAATGTCATTATTTCAAGAGGAGATAGAGAAAAATGTGTACGTTGGTGTCGTTCATCCGTCCAGACACTTTGTTAATAAAGTTAGGTTCTGCTGCACTTCGATTTAGGAACCAATTGCAAAATTCAAGACAATTGGGGAAATCAGCTGGTTCTAAAGCTTGAACTTTTTGAAAATGGTACGGGTTGAGTGAATTCTTGCGCAATATCCGCCAAACTTTGGTTTGTGATATCTCCAATCGTCTCGAAATTGTTCTTGTGGAAATAGTAGGCTGCTCCTCGACTAAATTTAAAATAGCCTCTATCGCATCTAAGTCATTTTGTCGATGTCCTGCACGTTCTCTGCGTGGTATGATAGACCCCGTGTTACGAAGACGTTGAAAGGCTTGCACAATTGTCCGCGGGCTTGGGAAGTTCTGTCTATCAGGGAAACGCTTCCGACATTGAATTTCAGCGGCATTTGAGTTCTGTACACAATCTCCGTATAAAATCACCATATCCACAGAATCGGCATTCGTATACAAAGCCATCACGACCGACACTTTAAACAATCCGAAATAAACTAACGGTTTCGTGTGTCTTTCCAATCCACATCCCCTCTCCATCTGTATGGTGTGATGTTCACTCTTTTGCGGGAAAAATGCGGGAGATATGGAGGGTGGTAGATTTTAATAAACGCTTTAAATTGTTAATGGTTTTGTAACTGTGTGTATATTCGGGTATTTAGTGTGCCGACTTTTTTTATTCGATGAAATACGGTCTGCCTACAAACCTCTGCTTTATTTATTGTATTTTAACGAAAGTTGACTTCGAGAAGACAGGCTTGTTAAAACATTTTGCACTAAGTTAATACAATTGTTAAAATTATTTATAATAAAATGCAGCATGCTCCTTTATTTACTTGCATATGTTTAATGCGGAACCCAAAGTAAATGTGAACCACAGATTATGATGTGAACTTGGCAATGCTGTTCGCTTCAGCTGACGACTGGTTTGTGACATTACGTTACAAAATTTTCCGAGCATCCGGGCATCTGGCAGGGCCGCCCTCTTAGCGGGAGTTATGGGTTGATTTCCTTCATTATTAAAAGTCGAGTAAAATTTGTTTCCGATTTTCTGTCTTTATTAAACCTTCCGAATACGTGATTAAAATGAATGACATTATGACTGAATTACCCTGTATAATAAAAAATCCTCATGTACTGCTGTTGATATTAAATCTGGTCAAACTTTGGTGATCGTATGTCCGCTTTCGATGTACGCCACTCTATTATTTTTTTATACTCTAGTCGTTATACTACAATTTCGTTCTTTTCTATTAGTATACTTTTTTTATTTCGTTTTAAGTAAAGAAAGTTAATTTCATGCATAGTAGGTATGCATAAAATATAAGAAACTCTTCGCGTCTTGCTATTACAATTTAAATTTTCTCTAATATTGGAAGTACATTTTTATAATAACATCTTTGAACGGATCTTATATTTAACGTCAATGGCAAAATCTCCATTGTTTCCTGCCACATGTTTCGCTTTTTTAGTTTTACGATTTCGTCATCTTTTAATGTTGTTAAATACACCCTACAAAGATCTTGATATGTTGAATTCGCTCGTTTATGGCTACCACTGCCACTTGTACATGATTTCATTTTTAAAAATACTGAAATAACTAAAATGTGAAAATTATTAATACGATACCCACCTGTACGCACATGACAAGAAGGAAAACGCCTAAGTTGCGAACTGAGAAATCGAGAAATGACAGAATGCTTGTTACAAAGAAAGGGCAGGCATATTGAGAAGTGAATAAATGACCGTAGACATATGTATAAGATGAAAAGTGTGGAGATCTCAAAAAAATAACACCCTGTTTGTCGTTTTCTAACATATTCTACTTATATTACACTCAAATAAATAAAGACGTATACCAACCAAGATTTCTCTGGCTCAAATTGTCTGTGTCTCGGAAACGGTTAAATTTTCTACATACGTTTCAAAAACAAAGCCAACTTATTTTCACTTGTCCTGCCTGGTCCCGATAAAAACCGCCACACGCTGTATGTGCACAGCACTGAAAATTAATAGGATCAATACGTTTTTCACTTTCATAGACTTAACTAATGCGTTGTTCCAGGAATGTTCCGTCTTCCTCTTCGAGAAACGGTGTGCGGAGAAGCTCCACAAGCCCAAACGGAAAGAGACAGTGACGGAGATATTAAGGAGCTCGGTCAGGCAACTCGAGAGGTTCAGACACCCCAAAATTCTCCACGTGTTGCACCCGATTGAAGAATGCGCCGACACCCTGGCTTTCGCCTCGGAGCCGGTGTACGCCAGTCTAGCTAATATCTTGGCATATCAGGAAGGTAGCGGGAATCATGGGGGAATCACTACCACGGGAGTGCAACAACCTGCGACGCCGAGACCGGCGCATTCCCGAGAATATAGCTTTCTAGATATCGAATATAAATATGGCATACTTCAGGTAAGCAGTGACTGACAATAAATTTACGTTCTTATGTTATTTCCTTATTGAAACAGAGGTTAGAGAAAATAAAAGCTAAAAATATGTTCTCGTAAAATTCTCATTGTTCAAAAATTTACACTGGGTATATTTTAAGTTTAATGTTATTTCTCTATCTTACCAAATCTTTGAACTGCTTTGCATATTTGTGTAATACGTATTTTGCGTTACTCGTATTTTTTGTTGTTTCTAGTATAATTCTTCCCAATAAGTATTTTTAAATAAATAATTTGCATCATATAAAAAATTTCTAATGAAATATTGTAATGGGGTTGACTGTTTCATTCCTTTATAAAATACGCCAATGATCGAACAAATATTGAAAAGTTGTCTCTTTATTAGTAGGATGCTTATACCAAGTTTCGTGTCTCTAGCATTCCTCATGTTAAAGAAAAAAATTAAAATGTGAATTTCAATCCCCTCCTTTAAGAGGGGAACGCTAAAATGGTTTTTGCTTACTTTCTCATTATCAAGAGCTAAATGGGAAATAAGTATTGAGTGTGTTGTAGCTAATTTATGGAATCAAATAATTTTCTTTTTTTAATGTGGATTTTTGCAATAAATCGGAAAACACTTCCGAATATTTCCGAAACAGGTGAAGATAGGTATAGGACATTGTACATGAAATATGTCTACAATTTTCTGAAAAATTAAAAAATTGAATAATATACACGGTGTTGCATTTAAAATAAGAAAATTGGTATTGACCACATGTAATCATGACACCCTGTATAAAAAGTTTTTGTTGAATAAAATGTGCAACTAAAAATACCAATCGAAGTGTCCGAGCGTTTTTTCGAACACGCTCCCAGTTATTTCAATTATTGAATTTATTCCATTTGGCTGATACACACTGTATATAACTGTTTAATGTGCTTGAAAATCTTATTCGTACATAAACATTTGCAAAAGTTATAAATAAATAAAGGTTAATAAAAAAATAGTTCGTTTTTTTGCAAATAACTCGAAAAATATAAGCGTTAGCGTCAATTTGAATAAAGATCCTTTAAGAAAAGGGAATTTCCTATAAAAATGTCCCAATTCCTAATCTCTATCGTCATTACCATTATGGGTTATCATAATAAACTAACACTACTACATATAATAATCATTTATAACGGCTCGAGCAAATGGAAAATAGCCATATAAACCGATTTATATTCAGTAATTACGTATTTTGATACATATCTTTGAATTTATGGCACCCTTATTGTTTGACCTCAGTTGTTTAATAATAGATATCAAACTGGGGGTATTCTAAGGATATTCGAAAACTAAAAATATCAAATAAAAGTGGAATAAATTAAAGCAGTAACAAACATTTTCTTCAGTAAATGAGAGATTACTTTTTCAAGCATAAGTAATATAATAAAACTAACACCAGACTTTTAGGTACCCCAAGTTCTGTAATATACAAAGTGACCAATTAAGAATCAGGACACTCATCTAAACATTTTTTAGGATGCATGATAGATATCTTGTTGAACCACTTAAATGATCCAGTTGGTAATACAATGCCAAATTCGATTTTTTTGACTTTAGACAATTTTTTATTCAAAACTTACGTTGTAACCATAATCAAGATTAACTTCAATTCCACAAATTTCCTAAAGGAGGAGGGTCAATAAGGCCGGTTTTCGGCCTTATCAGAAATTGATTGAAACATATGGAATATATTTTTCTAACCTAAAGCGCAATCGATTAAATTGATTCTAGGCAAAATTGATTAAACCTCTCCACCCAAAACACTCAAAAACTTTAAATAACGTAATAAAACCATTTGTCTTACATCTGATGCACAGAATCATATAAATAACATTTTTAGTGTACAAATTAAGTAAAATATACTTATAGTCATAAAAAAAAACTTTAACCTCTGCCCCTTCCACCTTATTCCCCCTTCTACGAATGTACCCTTGAAAGATACTGAAGAATATCAAAGAGACTTAACAAAAAACATTTATCTATCAGTCTAATATAAACAATATTGACATGTTTCTGGTTTAAAAATAGGTTAATCCACCTCCTTCCATTCGAGTGTCCATCCCGTATATCTTTTTCTTCCTTGTACCTCCATCTTGTTTCTCTAACTTTTATAAACAGGCATAAAAATAGGGCTAAAGTCCAGTCCAGTTCTAATATTTTTTGTTGTAGTTTGATGTGAGTCCCCTTGCCTCCCACTGATTGGGATGGTTTAAAATGAGTCCCCTGTGAAGTGCTGGCGGCTGGGAGGTTTACTTATAACTAAATCTAGTAGAATATTATTTTTTCTAGATCTTTAAATAAATGTTTTTACATGATGTATAATTTATTTTATATTCAATTATCTTGCATTAAACGTAACTGCTAATTTATCATCGTCATTATTAAGTATTTCAAACGGATCCTAGACAAAAAGCTTAAAATAATAATTGACGCTCATATAATACAACTGTAAAGCGGCCTCAATCTCCATGATGAAATTATTTTATCAAATAGGTAACGCGTTATTTGGCGAGTAGACATCAGACAAAAGTGTAGCAAGCTATTCACTTTACCGCGTAATTTAATATATTATTTTTAACGCAATAATCATCGCGATAATGGACGTTACGCGTTAATGTAAATGTGGCCCAAGCATTAGTAATTTATACAGGGTGAGTCGGAAATAATGGGTCAACAGTAAACTGGAGATACTAGACACCAAAATACTTGTATGCAGAATTGAACGTTCTTTTAGATTTTTAACTTTTCTTAAGCATAACTCAACAGAAAAAACAATATGTGTTGATTTACCTAAATAATACGGCGAAACTAGCGCCCTCTAGGAGCAACGTCAAAATAAGCTTCAAATTTATAATTCTCACATCAAAAAACCCAATAGTACCAATTTCCAGAGTCATGCTATTAAAACTTTCCCAATTATTGAGAAATTTCAAAATAAAATTTAAACCTTAAATACCCTGTATTTCTTAAACCAGCGACATTCGTATAAGGCATGATGAGCTCAAACATAATATTTTGGTGTCTAGTATCTCCAGCTTATTGTTGACCCATTGTTTCTGACTCACCCTGTATAAGGTATTTTTACTCTATTTATTATTTTTTCTGGATCTTATTTACAGATCCAGTTTCAGTTTCATTTGACTTATCTAAATCAAATTAATTGTGCAATGTTTTGTTGATCAAATCATAGGTTCTTTTATTTAAATTGATAATATAACTGGTTTCATAATACATATTCCTTATATGTATATGTTTCTTAATAGCCATTTCGAAATTTTGTTATTAGAAATTATCTTCTTATTGAATCTGTGTAGCTTTTATACATAGTAATTCCATTACAGTTTTTTAAATGCGTATCGTATTCTAATTTATTTATGGCAATGTTTATTATATTGTTTTTATTTGACACTGTCACTAAATAAATTAAAAACATTTAAGACGCGGTAGTGATTTTTGGACCTATCTGTATTTGCATGGTAATTACACATTTCATATTTTCATAACCAGTGCTTAACCCTGCAGATTTTTTTTTGCGAATTTTATTATGTTAAAATTAAACACAATTTATTAGATACTAATAATTCCAAAGGGCTAAATACGCCTAATGGATTACTCAGAAATTGGAATTGCAATTATATGTGCATATTGACATAAAATTACAGTCCGTAATAGCGTCGGATATAATTATCACGGTTCCCTAAACCAAAGTAGTTTCTGGCACAAGCTTGTGAATTTATAATTGTAAGTAGACTAATAGCAAAGTTGTATTCGTAACTCAAAAAGTTGTTAAACGATACTGGCAATTTATACAGGGAGTTTCGGTAGGTACTTGATACAAAAAAAAGTCGAGTATAAATAGATGATGTCAAAATCAAATCAGTTCTTCATATAATTTTTTTCATACGGGCCTTCGTTAACAAGTTACGGGCCTTCAAAGGTGAAAATTAAAAAGTTATTTTTATTTACAATCTCTAAACTATCAATTTTAGGATAATGCAAATTTGGTGATCGATAACACATGCGTACAGCTTGTTTTTGATGTTGTCAGTGAAACTTCATTATGCCCAGAACGCCAGAGACGGACTATGCCCAATGGTTAACAACTCAGAATCAAAGGTTGATTCATTTTTATGGCAAATTCCGCACAAACTGCAGTGATCATGACTTATGGTCTAATTGTAACTCTGACCTTGAGCCTTGGGGTTAAATTTAGGGGTCCTTTAAGGCTAACTTTGGATTTACATGATTCGTGAATGCCAAATAAATATCGAAAATTAAGGCAAGATTTTTGCAAGTATTTTTAAATTCAGACAAATATTTTTTTTTTCTAGTTGCAATTTTCGCACATTTTTTGAGAATTTCAAATAACAGCAGTGGCCTTAGTTGGATTTAATTTTAAAGCGTTTCTTTTTAGACAGTCGAGCAATATTTCTAAAAATATTAAATCTAAATTAATCTTATTAAAATATTCTGCCCTGGTTTAAAAGATACATACATACATACAACTGAATATCCTCCGCATAACAATCAATGCATTTTTGATTCAATATGCGAGTGAACCAACAAATAACAGGGCACCTAAAATAGACAATTGAGGTACACCACTTTTAATTGATACTTCCGTTAGAAATACATACTGGTCATTTTGCTTACGATCAATGATATAATTTTTAAATCATAATAACGAATCACTTGAGACATCAGTCTTGATGTCAAGTATTGAAACAAGTAGGCAACTGCCAACGTCCTCTATGTCACTAATTTTCAAATTTGTCAATGCCCAACATCGACAGGCACCAGAAACCCCCATTATTAGTGCAACCCAAAATAATTCAGAGTACACTATATACCTAACAACATGTAAAAGGTAAAGAGATATTACATTAACAATAAAATAATCCTTATCAGAAGCCTCAGTCAAAAATTCTTCAATATATATTAAGCTTGGAAAACATGCTACTCAGATCTTTAAGTAAAAATATGTTATCTTTGTTTGACTAGAAATTTAAATTGGAATGAAATTGGAATGATTGAAACCGTGGATTTATAATAAACTTATATAATATATTTTTCAAAAAGTAAGGAATATTTAAGATCTGAGCTAGCATGTTTTCCAAGCTTAATTTGAGATAGCATGTTTCCAACTGAAATTTGAGATAGCATGTTTTCCAACTGAAATCTGAGATAGCATGTTTTCGTACTAAAGCGTCGATATGCTCTTTCCAATACTGCAGCGTTTTTTGTTTTGTATCATCTATCAATAACTATTATTTCTTTAAGATGTCAGACTAAGTTTCATTAGTTTACGTCAAATAACTGTCGAGATATTTGCTTATTTGCATTTTTTTTAAACTTATACGCACTGTAACTGGCAACTATATAATAGGGTATATTTGGTCCAATTATCATGTTTTGTACTTAAGATTATCGAGGTACCATTTCTGCATTTTTTATTTAACAACATCCTGTATATTTTAGCAAATGTAAATTAAATCTTAAAGGTATTGATCAGCAGCAGCGACTAATGAAACGTTTGTTTCAGATAACGGAGGCATTGTCTTTCCTTCATTACTCCGGCCACGTGTTACACCGAAACGTGTGTCCTGCCAGCATCCTGGTTACCAAGAAAGGGACGTGGAAACTTGCCGGCCTTGAATTCACAGGTAATTAATCAAAATCGAAATTATTGTTCCGAAACTTTTAATAAAAAAAGCCCTGCTTTATTGGAATGCTTTTCTAACTGTAGTTATAAGTTGTTACGATGTCAATTGGAACTTGTGAATCTCAAATGTGAATCTCCGTCTGTACTTCTCTTGAAATTTCTTCCTGTGCTTTAGCCATTATCTGTCTCGTAATTTATACTCGAATAGCCATTGGGCGATTTCGGTATTGGTAGACCAGTTCGCCTGATGTAGAATCGACGGCGGTGCGCTGGTCGTTAAAGAAACCTGTATTGGTCCACTAGGTCGTAAATAATTTTTTGCATGGTATTATATTATTAGTTTAGTGTCGAATTTCACATGGTTTTGCCAGTGCAGTAGAGAGCAGTTCTTGGCAGTAGCCGAGCTCTCGACCCCCCACCACTACCTCCCATACATTTTTCGTGAATTTCATGCTCGGTCCAATAGTTTTAATCGACATTTTATATGGGTTGCACAAGGGCGCAAGTTTTGAAATCTTTAAACAATTACCACGGCTCTCCTAATTAACGGAATTTTTCTGTACGCATTTTAAAGTTTGAGTGCCCTTTTTATGTGATAAAAGTTTCAAGTACCTATCTAGAAGTCTTAATTTGCAAAAAATTCAATTTTTTTTTCAAAAGTCTGGATTGCAAAATTATTACTCGAAAACTATTGGACCGATTGTAACGAAAATAGGTGTGAAGATTTTTTTTGGCCAAGTATTAAGATCCTACCCATAAGTAGGTACTTTTAAAAAAATCTCAAAAATATTGTAATTTTTTTTACTTTTTTGTTGTTTTGCTATATTTGCAATAATTTTGTTGTATTTTTTATTTGAAAATAGGTATATCTAGGTAAATTTCTCGAGGCAAAATTTAATAGTACACTGTGAGTATCAAATATTTATAATTTTTTAAAAACATAGGTATACTACTTTGAAAGTTAAAATAATAATTATTTTAACTTTCAAATGTTTTTAAAAAATTATTAATATTTGATACTCACCGTGTGGTAGTAAATTTTGCCTCGAGAAATTTTTTCAGTGTCTCGTGATTTACTTCTATTCTTTTGTTTATCAAATTCAATAAAAAAATTATTAGTTCGTTGATTTATTTTTAGAGGTCGCTCGAAAACATTTTAGGTACACTACTTTTAAAGTTAAAATAATTATGAGTGACCTTTAGAAATTAAAATATTGATTTGAAATTTTCAGAATCGAAATTTTTTTCAACCTAGAAAATGATAAAATAACGAGAAAAAAATTTTAAAAAATCAATTCGTGACGATTTTGTAAATTTTTAAAAATCTTGAGCGACCTCTAAAAAAATTTTTTTTAGCTGATTTTTTGAGGGGGCTCTTAAAACATGATGAACTAACATATTTTCACAAGAGAAAAAAATTTGTTTTTCTTTGGGCCACCCTAATCTACACATATAAAACGGGCATGCGCGGGGCCTCGAAGCAAAGTGGATTTGGCTGTTTCTAGACTGTAACCCTATGCCCAACATGGTGCGGGTCCTTAGAATAACAAAATACTCCTGCAAAATTTCTTGACTTCTGTATTATTGTGTAAAGATAATTTTATTTTCTTCTGGATAACAAAATAAGTAAAAGTCATAAGTTGGTCAAAATTAGAAATACTCAGTTTTAAGTACATACAATTATAAATTTAACAAGAAGTTAAGAACCTATACCCTTCTATTTAAATGTGTAATTTATATATAGGCTGATATAGAAGAGATAATTAGTTGTTCATAAAACTTTGATTAAAGGTTATAAGATTCCAATTAAAACTTTGCGAAATTGTACCGAATAAGACGTTTGCCGAATCATCAGAACTTTGTTAAAGTAAATAATTACCTAACAGTTATTTCTCCTGCGAACTGAACTCAATTTTATTCTTAAAATATAAGGGACAGGAAGTATTCGGGTAACAATGTCGTGAAAGAGTAAACTACTTCAAGTTACTTAATTATTTTCACGATTTTTAGACTTTACGATTTGGTACAGAAACTCTTCAAGTTTGTTGTATAGAAGTTGGGGGAATGCAGAAAAAACTATTCAGCAATTAAATTAAATAGACTTCCCATTCTTTTGGCTAAATGAATCATGTTTTATGAAAAGAGCGTGTCATGAATTTTCCTAAACTGTGCTGTAGCTGCCAAGAAATTATACATATTTCAAATGATATACAGGGTGTCTGGTAAGTATATGGCATACTCTCGAGAGTGTATAGGGGAAGTCAAAATAACCCTAGATTGTCATAAATTTTTTTTTCCTAAAGTGCCCCTTAACGGAGATACATAGACCCAAAGGGGTACCCAGCGATTTACTTTATCTAACTTTCGAACCGACTTGTATAATTTAATAAAATTTTAATATTTTATGTAGGCTATAAAAGCTCATAAAACCATACTACAGGGAAGTCAGGGAAGCCAGGAGCGGACTTGCCACCACACTCGTTGTACCAAAATTTTGTTGAAAACTGAATTTTTAAATACTTTAGTTATTCCTCTTTAAAAAAGATACTCTACATTTGTTTTGTTAAAATCAGCCGGTTTCGAAGAAATCCAGTTTTTGTATAACACGTTTAAACATTAATTTATTTAATTATAAAGTTTATTAACATAAACTATTCAAATACAATAATAATGGAATAACATCACAACTAATAATTCGTATAAAAATAATAAAATTTGGCATTATTATTACATCTCATTAATGCTTACATGCATCTACCTTATGGATGGACAAACACTCGGCAATTGTGTGGAGGCAAGAAGAATTTATTCTGATACATTTCCAAATCATTTAAACACAAGGCTGTTAAAAATTCGAAAGCTTTGCTTCTTCTTGTTTACTTCAGCAAATTCTCAAAATGGTCGCCTTTTTACTTTTCCTTATCCGACATATGTTTTCTCGTTGTACTGGAAACAATATTCCAAAATTGTCTTGAATTTCGTTGCAATGGTGTGTTATTTTTTCTATCACGTTTTTCCTAGTGTGAGCTGGCGTCGAATACACAAGCCTCTTTAAATTTCCCCATAAAAAGAAATCCAATGGAGGATAAAATAGGTTCATCTCGACCTGTCTATTGATAACCAAAAGTATTTGATAAGAGCTGACTGAAATAAATTGCTAAAATGAGGCGATGCACGTCATGTATAAACTATATATGATTTCTAATTTTTAAGGGCACATTTTCTAATAAATCATTTAAGCTTTGTTGCAAGAATTGCAAATACATGACACCATTTAATGTCTTCAAAAAAGAACGATCTAATGAGATGATTCCAAATAATCCCCGCCCTTATGTCTTTGTTGGTGCTTTATCTGTACTATTACATGGGGATTTTCTTCATGTCAGATATGCAAATTATGGTAATTAATTACTCCGTCTCGATTGAAACTGGCTTCGTCCGTGAACAAACCAATACTAATAAAATTTGTATTTGCCTAAATCGTTGCAAAAACCAATTTGCGAATTGACTCTTGAAGGATAATCAGCGGGAGACATTTCATGTACCCTTTGGACGTGATAAGGATGTAGTAATTGTTCTGGAAGGGTCTCATGAACGGTCCACTTTGTCGCATGAACTTGGACCGACAGCTTTCTTATACTATTTGAAGGATTTTCAGCAATCTCATCCAGAATTTCCTCCTCTAACAGAAGGTTCCTTGCTCTTCTTGGAGGCCCTTCTCTACTACAATGCGGCAAAAAACTTCTTAAAATATATTAGTAAAAGATTATCTACTTTTAGCATTTTTTTATTTCACTTGACTCTTTACCTCTTTCTAGTAAGCTACGATCAACCCTTTAATAAATTGTTGTCCATAAATTAGATGCATGTCAGCATATTAGTTATAGGAATAATGCTCCATTATTTAGTCTTGTGTACTTAATCAATCAGACAATTTTTATAATGTCAATAACGACATAAAAACGACTAGTGTTTTATTGCAGAATTCTTCTTATTATTTCAATGACGTGATATACAAAAACTGATTTTTTTCGAAAACGGCTAATTTTATCGAAACAAATCTAGAGTACCTACCTTTTTTAAAGAGGAATGACCAAATATTTAAAAATTCAGTTTTCAGCTCTATAAAATGACACCTGTCAAAATTTTGGCCCAACGAGTGTGGTGGTAAGTCCGTTCCTGACTTCCCTGACAGTATGAAACATCTATTGCATTATGGCTTTATAAGCTTTGTGGTCTACATACAATGTTAAAATTTCATTAAATTATACAATTATTTGTATCTCCGTTAAGGATTTTTTTTATGACAAACTAGGGTTATTTTGATCTCTCCTATATATATATATATATATATATATATATATAAAGAGACAAGTTTTAAAAGCACTATTTCAGAGGTATTAAAAGAGGTATTAAAAAAACTTATTATTTATAAAAAATATTTCTTTCAATTGAGTCTTCGTACCTAAGTTTATTTTTTCTTAAAAATCATCTCCAAGTCTATATATGTATCGGAAAGAAACGATTTTTGTTTGCAAAGTAAAGAATACATTATCTTTCTGTGTTCTATTCAAACAACTGGTATATAAGTTTCGGATTGACTTCAAGTTTGTCAGACAAGTATCTTTCAACCAGCCCTAACAAAAACATTTCTAATTCTTGTTTCCCATTCAGTAAGAGGCTTCACACATTTCTCCCAATATAAAAGTTAAATCGAACAGTGATATAAGTTATGTAATCCCTCCTTCGATACAAGTTTCTATTTATGATTTTTGTGAGAAAATATCAGCGAATTTATTACGTTCAAAATTGGCCAGACTCTTCGGCTGTTTCCATTGACGTATTAATTTTGTTCATTTATTTTTGTTTGTAGTATGGTGAAAATACCAATTAAATAAGGGAGCCTGAATTTAAATTCATGTATCAATCTGATCATTTAGGTACGTACTAGGTGTAATACTCCTCGTTTTGTTTACATGATTAACCGAAAGCTAAAATTAA